TGTGAAAATAAAAAAATGAAACCTGTTGAAATTGCTTTAAGAACAGGGGAGAGGAAAAAGGGAGAGCAATAGAGGGGAGTGAGTTTAGTAAAATACATTGTATGAATTGAAATACCACAATGAAAATCATTTTGTAAGACTATAATGTGTGCTAATATTTTTAAAAATCGTAAAAATAAAACTTGAGAGGCTGGGCACTAGTGACTCATACCTGTAATCCTAGCTACTTAAGAGGCTGAGCTCTGAGAATCATGCTTCAGAGTCAGCCCAAGCAGGAAAGTCTGTGAGAGTCTTCTCCAATTAACCACCAGAAAACCAGAAGTGGCGCTGTGGCTCAAGTAGTAGAGTGTTTGCCTTGAACTGAAGAGCTGAGAGACAGCTCCCAGGCCCAGAGTTCAAGCCCCATGACTGAGGAAAAAAAAAAAACAACTTGTGGGTAGGGGGAAAATGGGAAAGAATGAAGAAAGGTATGACATTGAGGAACATTGTACTCATAACCTGACTTATTGAATTGTAATCTCTTTTTACAACTATGTAATAATAATAATAATAATAATAATAGAAAAGAAACAACTCTTAAATTAACCACCAAAAAAGACCAGAAGAGCTGTGGCTCAAGTGGTAGAGTGCTATCCTTGAGCACGAAAGCTCAGGGACAGCATCTAGGCCCTGAGTTCAAGCCTCAGGACAGGTGCACACGGGCAAACACACACACACACACACACACAAAACTTAAGGGAATTGTATCAGACAGGGAGGAACAAGAACAGGAATTCTCCTCCGCCTAGATTGCAAAATGAGTCTGAGAGGTTCATCAATCATTCTGGGCACCATCTAGAGAGAATAAATGGGTTTTCCTTCCATGCACTGCTATTTTCAAAAACCTGTGTAGTTACTACTGTGGTTCATAAAATATAAAGTTATTTATAAATGAGAGCTTCGTAAGTTCCTTTGTCCCGATAATGTCTTAGGGAAGAGAATAAACTCTGATGCTTAGTTGAAGGGAAGGCTTTCAGTGCTTCACTCAGATCACTTGTCCTGAAGATAAACGTGCTCAGGCCTGGAGCTCTGACTTTGTAATCACCTGTCAGCGAAAGGCCTATTTCCCCAGGATAATCAATACTACGGCATTCAGCACACATCATGGGAACAGCCACGGTGCCAGAGAAACCGCAGGCAGAGGCAGGGGAAGATAGAGACAGCAGACCAGGGCCACGAGGCCAGGCAGAGAGCAGCCTAAAAACATGAGATGTGCAAAGAACTCAGCAGGCCATGGAACTTACAGAAAATCCTAAAATCCTGCACCTCCACTCTGGCAAAAGAGGAGCATATGGCAACCTCTGAAAGTTACCTCCAAAGTATTCTGGGTTGATCCTGCCTTTGTACTTCTGCTAGGATTTAAAATTCACAGAATTCTGCCAGAAAGCATCTCTCCGTTCCCCTCAACTTCACCCTATCTGAAGAGATGCAGCAAAGGAAGTTGCAGCTTTATGTGAATCTCTTAGTACAGAGCCAGGTATCTGAGGGAACTTTGACTCCATGGTGGGGAGCAGGGAGCATCTCACCAGATGCTGAGGATGTAGAACAGGCTACGGGCCTGTTTCCTGCCTCCTACAAGAGAAGAGCCAAGCCTTCTCACTGGGAAATGGGAGAATCGTGATGTTTGATCTACTGAATTTAAGATTTTTTTTCTCTCTTCCTTCCTTTCTTTTTTTTTTTGGCCGGGGGGGGGGGGGAGTGGGGGTTATAGGGCTTGAACTCTGGGCTTGGGCACTGTCCCTCAGCTCTTCAGCTCAAGGCGAGCACTCTGCCAGTTGGGCCACAGCACCACTTCTGGTTTTCTAGTGGTTTATTGGAGATAAAGAGTCTCATGGACTTTCCTGCCCAGGCTGGCTTTGAACCGCAATCCTCAGATCTCAACCTCCTGAGTAGCTAGGGTTATAGGCATGAGCCACCAGTGCCCAGCTTTGAATTTAAGATTCTTAACACCTAAAGAGCCTTGCAAGTACAGCCCATGAGCCTCTTGTGGTGGTGTTTTATTTTTAATGGAAGACCAGGTTTTTATTATAAGTCCTTGCGGGGACTGGTATTGTGGCTTTGTGGTAGAGTGCTTGCCTCGTATGCATAAGGCCTTAGGTTCAATTCCTCAGTACCACATAAACAAAAGAAAGTCATTCAGTAAAAAAATATTAAAAGGGCTGGGAAGGTGGCTCAATGGTAGAGTGCCTGCCTTGCAGAAAAAGCCAGAAGTGGCGCTGGGGCTCAAGTGGTAGAGCGCTCACCTTGAACTGAAGAGATGAGGGACAGCACCCAGGCCCAGAGTTCAAGCCCCACAACCCACAAAAAAAAAAAAAAAAATGTCCTCACGGTTTCTATAACAGAAGCATGTTTTCCCTGTGGCTGTCTCTACCCCAGGCTCCTGCTAATATGATTTCTGAGTGTTTGGAAGAGAGTTTCTTCAGACATTAAAATTCAGACTAGCTTGATCACAATGTAGTAGCCAGCTTGGTGTAAATAAAACTTGTAAAGAAAAAATTCAGCACAATATGCAACTGTTTCGTGCTATTCCATTCCAGTTATCCTAAGAAAGATAATAGTTTAGGACATGCTATGTGAAAAAGAGTTGAATATACTTCCTATACCCCCAGAGAAACAGAAATATGAGATTCGGCTCTCCTCCCACTCTGAGGGATGAGTAGGAAAGTGATCCTCAGGCCCAACTCAGAAAGATGGTTACCAAGGAAGTTCTTCAAAAGACCTGGTGTGTGATCCATCACCCAGAAGTCCCAGTGTGACTCCTGCCTAGTCTGTGTTCTGAAAGAATAGCTCGTCTTTGGTGGGAGACCAAGGTGTGTTGAATGGGGCTGTTGCATTTGGGAGTATGTTGTCAGAGGGAATGTGAGGCCAGCGGAAGAGGAGGAGGAGGAGGTACACTGCCTCTTCTGGGTAATGCTACCCACTATTCATCTTTCAGCCTCTGCAAGGATAAGCTTCTTAAGGTATTTGCTGCATCCAATAGAGGGAGCCAGCAGAAGAGCTGAGGTGTAACCTCTCATGGAGATCTTACAAATAGGTCTGTTATAGTAGGGTCAGGGCATTCTGTGATCACTCATGGCTTTGGGCCTTGGCACTAGGGAGACCTTTAGATCTTGTAAGACAACCTCAAATAGGGTGCGAAGTTGGATGTGGACTGCCTGGAGATGGTCATCTGGGCTGAGCTATAGAGACAACTGGGGACAGACCCAGAGATGGATGCTTTGCACACAGATTCCTGCAAGCCTTCCCCTCCCCCAGCATAGCCCGGATACCCAGGCAGGCTCTGAAGTAGAAGTGATGGGTTATAAAGAGCCTGAATCTTAACGTTTTCATCTTAACAAACCTCCTGGCATTCAGTAAGTATTGAGAGCCGACCTGCCTTATACCAAGCCCTGTTCTAAATTGTAGAGAAAGGCTCCTGCTCCCACAGTAACGGTCTCAAAAAGGAGCCAATAGGTTGTTTAACAAATAAGTCAACAAGATACGCACACTTGTTGTAAGTTTCTGACTGACATAAAAGGGATGCGATGGAAAGTTACAGGGAAGAGCCATATGGTAGGGGAGGATTTCTGCAGAAGGCATTTGAGCCAAGACTTAAGGATAGAAGGGCTGAGATTAGCGACGACAGGAAGAGCATCCCAGGCAGAGGGAACACAGCGTCACAGGAGAGGCAAATAAAAAAAGCCTTGGCATGTTGAAGAACAGCAAGGCTTCGGCCCGAGTGAAATGCAAGAATGATTGGATACGCTCAAAGGGAAGGTGGGCAGCCGCAAGGGCATCACCAGCCGTGAGCAGTCAGGACTTTGGCTGGGAGCAGTGGGAAGACACTGACTTTGTTCAGCTGGAGTGTAGAGTGAAATTCAGGATCACTACGGTCTTTGTAATAGATGAAAAACCAGTTACGGCAGTGTGGACCTAAGTAAATAACTTTAGGTTCATCACAGGCATACATAGCAGTTACAGCCCCTGAGCCGTATCTGTACTGCTATAGAAGGATTTGCAAGAATCAAAAAGTGTATTATAAATGGGGGCCAGAGGTGTACCCAGGTAGAGTGTGTGCAAGGCCCGAAGCACTGCAAAAAAAATGAGAAAGATGTTACAAGTGTATTTTTAAAAGAGGAGATGTAGGTGGGGGTTATGGTGCCAGCCTGTCATCCCAGATGGAGATTGGGAGGATTGCACTTCACGGCCAGTGTGAACAACAAAAAAAAATCAAGACCCCGTCTCAAGAAAAGCAGCCAGGCATGGTGATGCATACCTCTTATCCCCAGCTATGGGAAGGTGTAGGCAGGTAGGAAGACTGAAATCCAGTCCAGCCTCCACTACTGCTAAAAAACAAAGGACACATCCACGCGTCTATGATTGCCTGTATACAGGACATCCCATAAAGGATACACAAGGAAAAGGAGCTGGGACACAGGGAGACCAGGGTGGAAGAGAGACCGACTGACCGTTCATAGTGTTTTCTTCCATACGCTTGAATAATAGCTTACTGTGCACCTGCATAGCTTACTCAGCAAAACAGACATGGTGTCTGCATTGTGGTCCCTCCGGTGGCAGTGTGGAATGACTGAGGAAAGGAGTAGAAGCAGAAAAATCCTTTAGAGAAGCCTCTGGCGGTGGTCCAGTTGCAAATTGGTGGCAGCTTGACTTATGGAGTTGGTCACAGGGATAAAGAAAAGTGGATGGGTTCGAGACACACATTAGAGGCAGAGCCTGCTGGTCTTGGTGGAGCTCTGTGTATCCCATACTGCCTGCTCATCCCTGCGATGAGCAGGGAAAGGCTCACACAGTAGTGGTGGCGCTGGGCTTCTTCTGGGTACTAAACACCCCAGAATTCTAGTGCAGAGCTGTGGGCACGGTTATGTTACCTTATCCACATGAAACACTTAGAAAATGGGAATGATTTAATGCTTGTTAGAAACAGTCACATTGAACGCCACTCGTTTCTGCTTGCTTTGCAGAGAGATGCCAAGGGCCAGTACCTGTTTGACCTTCTTTGCCACCACCTGAACCTCCTTGAGAAAGACTATTTTGGAATCCGCTTTGTAGACCCAGATAAGCAGCGGGTAAGTCAAAATGCAAAGCCCCCCGGGGAGCACAGGGTTCCTCAATGGGCCTGAAGCCTTGAATGGTTCCTCATAGAGTGTAGCGTCAGGTATCAGGGGCTAGCCAGACCCTGAACTTGGCCGTCATTACTTAAAGTCATACACAGTCTTATGCCTAGAAGGCAATCTGAGAGACGGCTATAAAACACGAGAAGCCTGGCATTTCACACATGCCGAAATGGTGCCTTCAAGAACTTCGGTGGTTTGTATCCTTTGCTCTACAAAGGTCCACCCCTTAGTTCTGGACCTTAATATGAGGCCACAAAGAGGGTTCCCCTTCCCGGTACCAGAAATCCAGGTGCCCTCTCTGCTCTGGGTGCTCACTTGAAAATGAAAATGGCAGACTGGTGTTTACAGACGGTATTTGGTATGAGCTTTCTCACTTCTAACAGGGAGGCTGATGACCCCAAGATCTCTTCAGCTCCCAAGAGATGGTGGTGTTCGAACTAAAAAGGACAGAGCGAGTCTTGTTGGTTCTTCTCCAGTTAAGTCAGAAGTTACTTGAGGAGAGTCAGCGTCTGTGAAGTTTGTAATGGAGAAGGAGCTAGAAGGAGAGAAGGAGACAGGAAGGCAGGGAGAGAAACCTTTGGCAATGTCTGCTCTATGCCCTTCTCTGCAGGGTGCACGCCAGGCTCTTCCAGCTGATATATGTTGAGGCCAAGAGCTTCACATATGTTATTTTTTATGTAGCGCTTAAAACTGATGATGAGTATCCATAATTGTAATGGCCATTCCGCAGAGGAGTAGATAAAGTCTCAGGCAGGCTGAGTAATTTGCAACAGCCAAGTAAGTGGCAAAGGCGGGGTGGAGCCATTTGGCTCCCGAGCTGAAAGTCTTCCCTGGTCTGCTGTGCAAGTGCCCTTCCCCCTGCCTCCCCCACCCCCAGGGAGGGCCAGGGAGAGCCAAGGCCTGAGAGAGTTGGAGGGAAAGGGACCCATTACAAGAGTTGCTCTAGATCCACTGGATCATGGTAAAGATGGAGGAAAGGAGCCCGTTTCCCTACGGTATAAAATAAGTCGTTTCTCCTCCCCCCCCCCCCCACCAGCTCCAAGGTAGTGTGAAGCCAGCAGTCATATCCACTCTCCACCTCTGTTTGCTCGGTTCTGTGTCTGCCCTAAGGAGCTGCCTCTCCCCGTTCCCCACTGTCCTCAGAACCAGGGCCTCTGCCCTCTCACCAGCCCCTGAGTCTCCAGATTATACTGTTTTGGCCCAAACACAGGCAGAAACCCTGCTCCCGGAATCACCTTTTCCTCTCCTGATAGCCTTCTCCCCAAGGCCAGATTATCAGGTTGCTGATGATACTGGGGCCATAAGGCAACTGTAGGGTATTCTTGGGACGCTCTGGAACATTTCCCTGCTGGAGGCTGCTGAAGTCCCTGATAAGCTGGCAGTGCTTTTTGCTCCCTTCCCAACCCCTTCCCAGCCTCCTGCAGCCTCAGTCACTCCTTGAGCTCACTGCAGTGCAGAGGAAAGCCTTATCTCCAGCCATGGCCTTCTTGTCATTCAGCTCCATCAGCCCTCTACTGACACTGCACCTCCATCTTGCCTTTCTGTTTCTGTCTTCCTTTATGTCTAATGTCTAAAGGTGTTCTTTTTATTGAGTTCCTGACACTTGCTGCCTTCTCCCTCCCTCTGCCCAATGCCTGTGTGCTTAAACAGACCTCCTCCGCCCATCCAGGCACAGCCTGGGACCCCGGTTGTTTCTATGCAATTTCATCCCTCGCCTCGGCTTCCCTGCGAAGCAGAGCTGCGGTGGGCCATGTAATGTGAGAAGGACCTCTTAACCACATTGAGTGGCTATAATGAGTTGCCAGCCCCGTGGGAACTCAGATCAGAGGAAGCAAGAGAGCAGAATGTCAGCCCAGATTATCCATGTGGAGCTGACGGAAGAACTGGCTCTTAGTGGGTCCATTAGCTGCATGACCCACGGCCTGGCCCAGAAGGTGAGAGCTGGGAATCGAGGGAGGCCAGGATGCTGTCTGCACGTCCTTGGCTGCTTTCCCGCCACAGGGAAGATGCTGCCAAAGCATCACACTAAATGGAAGTAGCCAGGGAAGAGGGAATGTGGACCCAAGTCCCTCTGTCCATTGGACAGCAACATGTTAAGCATATACTACAGACCAATGAGGTGTTTCCTGTCCTCCTGGAGCCTTCATCTGGTGGCTTTGAATTACTTCCGGGCAATCAAGTCCCAAATAATAGAAGTTTTAGCTCACTGCAGATTGGCAAAAGTACTTGCTTAGCATTCCAACAGACAGACATCAATAAGGAAAGTAATAAATCTCCCATGAAGATTCAAGAAGCAGATAGAGGATGGTCTCATTGCTTTCTTGCCCCAAACGTAAGTACCATGTAAGGACGGGGAGCATGATTCAAGTGGTAGAGCATTTGTTTAGCAAGCAGGCCCTGAGTTCAAACTCCAGTACTGGGGGTGGGGGGCAAGGGGAATAACAAAAATACAAGTACGATGAAAAAAAACCATATTGCTATCATGCCCTGCTTCTATAAAAATCCCAGGGGAAGCCTGGCACTAGTGGCTCATGCCTGTCATCCTAGCTACTCAGGAGGCTGAGATCTGAGGATTACAGTTCAAAGCCAGACCGGACAGCAAAGTCCATGAAACATTTTTTTTTTTTTTGTCGGTTGTGGATGCTGTCTCTCAGCTCTTCAGCTCAGCCACAGCGCCACTCCGCCTTTTTCTGCTTATGTGGTGCTGAGGAATCAAACCCAGGGCCTCATGTATGCCAGGCAAGCACTCAACCACTGAGCTACCTTCCAGCCCCCATGAAACTTTTATCTCCAGTTAACCCCCAGAAAAAAAGGAAGTGGCACTGTGGCTCAAGTGGTAGAGTACTAGCCTTGAGCTGAAGAGCTCAGGGACAGTACCCAGGCCCAGAGTTCAAGCCCCACAACTGACCAAAAAAAAATCCCAGGGGAGCATTCTGTTATTGGTTATGATTAATTATCTTTTTTAATTTTTTGTCAGTCTTTGGGCTTGAACTCAGGGCCTGGGTGCTGCTCCTAGCTCTTCAGTTCAAGACTAGCACTCTACCACTTGAGCCACAGCACCATTTCCATTTCTGTGAGACAAGAGTCTCACAGACTTTCTTACCCAGGCTGGCTTTGAACCACAATCCTCAGATCTCACATATATATATATGTGTATGTGTGTGTGTATATATATATATATATATGTATGTATATATATGCTATAGATTATATATTTATGTATCATATATAGTATATAACATATACTATATGTGTGTGCAGATAACACATACCACAGGTTAGGCAGACGTAATATATTTTACACAGGTATAATATATTTGGGTTTAGTAAACATACTCAGCATCTCCCTACTCAAGCCAGGTGGGCCTTTGTCTCCAACATACCTCCGTGAAGCCATTCACACCTACTGGCATGCCAGAAACATGGCTCAGAACTTTGGCACCCTGCTTTAGGAGGCAGCATTCCCAGGGAAGCCCAGAAATGGCATCTGAAGCTGGAACTATTCCCCTCGTCACAGCTGCTCCATGGGAACTAGTTTCCGAAAAATCCTGTCACCCTTCCACTCTCCAAACCTATATTTTACAAACTTGGGGCCACTTTTATCCTGGGCTACAATCTGTAGAGTGATTTAAGTGGCGTAAACACACGTTAGACTTGACACTCGGGCTCATTAGGAGGGTTCTCATGTCCTGCGTTCTCTGTTTCAGCATTGGTTGGAGTTTACCAAGTCTGTGGTGAAGCAGCTGAGATGTGAGTATTCAGGAATGCACTCCAGCGCTGCCCTGGGGAGGGTGGGAAGAAGCCTGGCCAAGGTCGCAAGTCTTGGTTTTGTAGCTTTCCCCTGTTCTCCGTGTGAGGATTTTCTATGGGCAGTCAGAGTCCTGTGCATAGGTGGCCGGGGGGGTGGGGGGATGGCGCGGTATCTCTGCATGGCCATCTTCTGGGAGAAGGTCTACGCTGATGGACATCTCTTTTCTATGCAGCTCAGCCTCCGTTCACCATGTGTTTCCGTGTGAAATTTTACCCTGCGGACCCTGCTGCCCTGAAAGAAGAAATAACCAGGTGAGGCTGAACACTCCCCCATCCCCCACCCCACCCAACCAGCCACCGAGGCTGCAGGAAAGCCTAGGGAAGGGGGCATGGGCCTCTCAGAATCTCTGGTGTAGAAACACCTGGCTCTTAGGCAAGGAACTCTTCCCAAATAGAACCTACTTCTATATTCCTTTTCCACGTGCTTTCTGCAGTAGAGGTGGGCACACGTTTTTCCCCTACCTGTGATGTGCCTTCTGTGGACATTTTTGGAGAAGACCTGTTGATGGTTAGTTTGAGGATTGAAGATAGACTCCAATGGCCTAATGCATATGCTTGGGAGAATCATAAATGTGATATGGAGGCATTGTAAATTCTAAATCCAGTGGATAAACGCTGACGTGTTATTGGATCAGGTCTGTGTGATAAATTCTTTATGGTAGGGATCATGTTGTGTGGCAGACAGCTATGTGCATATGCATCCAATCTCACCCAGCACCACTGGAGAATGAGGGTTTCTGTGCTCACATCCATCCTGCAGAAGGGACAGTGAATAAGAACTTTCAAGCCTCCCAGGGCTTTGGATATCTGAACCAAAATCACACTAAGTCTCATCTTAAGGATTTCAAAGTTCAGCAGGGCACTGGTGGCTCACGCCTATAATCCTAGCTCCTCTGAGGCTGAGATCTGGGGATCACAGTCCAAAGCCAGCCCTGGAAGAAAAGTGCATTAGACTGTTATCTCTAACCACCAAAAAGCCAAAAGTGTAGCTATGGCTCAAGTGGTAGAATAGTACCAGGCCCTGCATTCAAGTCCCAGTATTGGCACATGTGTGCGGCACACACACACACACACACATTTTGGACGTTTTCCATAATGGGATCCTTTGTCCAGACATAAGGAAGCTTTGATGTCATCTTGTAGCAGGTAGGCCATAGGTCAAGAGGTAAAGCCAGAGACTCCTAGAGCTGAGAAAGAGACCACACCACTAACACTACAGCCTGGGAAATAGCAGATAGGAACGAGGTCATTGCTGTCATATAACTGCATGTCCGTAAGGACTTGAGGTCCACTTCAGGATCCTGAACTGCTTAGGAAAGAAAGGAAGAGAAAAGGACCAAAGAAAGGAAGGAAAGGAGAGAGGAAGGGAAGGGAAGCAAAGAAGGAAATGAAATTGTTTTCACTTGCATGTCAGTGGCTTTACATAAGGCAAAAAAGGCAGCATGTTCTCTCAGAAAGGAAATCAGGAAATGAAAGGGAGGGTAAAAAAAAAAAAAAAACATGCAGAGAAAGCAAGGAAAGAGGACAGGGAGGGAAATGGGCCCAGTGCAGCTTGAAGGGACTGATAGAATGAGCACCAGGAAGATCTCTTCCTGTACATGCACAAGGCAGGTAGTGTGTACCCACCCACTCTGAAGCCCTAAGGAGAGTTGGAGTAGCTGAAATGAAACATCATGCTGTCTTAGACATAAAGACTTCAGGAGCCGGGCACCAGTGGCTCACGCCTGTAATCCTAGCTACTCAGGAGGCTGAGATCTGAGGATTGTAGTTCAAAGCCAGCCTGTGTGGCTGGGAAGGTGGCTCAGTGGTTGAGTGACTGCCTTGCATGCACAAGGCCCTGGGTTCGATTCCTCAGCACCACATAAGCAGAAAAAGCCAGAAGTGGTGGTGTGGCTCAAGTGGTAGAGCACTAGGCTTAAGCTAAAGAGCTGAGGGACAGCACCCAGGTCCAGAGTTCAAGCCCCATAACTGACCAAAAACGAAACAGAAAAAAAGACTGCAGGCTCTGCTCGTCTTCATGATAGTAGAGGTGGTCAGCACTTTCAAAACGGAAAACCAAACTCACCTATATGACCAGGTAATCTGTAGTTTCAAGCAAGTAATGGAGACAAAACCACTATGTTTAGCAGTGTGTGTGTGTGTGAGAGAGAAAGAGAGAGAGAGAAAGAGAGAGAGACAGAGACAGAGTCAGAGAGAGACAGAGACAGAGTCAGAGAGAGACAGAGACAGAGTCAGAGAGAGACAGAGACAGAGTCAGAGAGAGACAGAGACAGAGACAGAGACAGAGTCAGAGAGAGACAGAGACAGAGAAAGAGAGAATGTGGGTATGAAGGAGAGAGACTGGCACTTCAACTTGCTATCTGATGCATGCTTTCACTCATTGGCTGGCATTCTACCATCTAAGCCACGCTTCCAACCCAATGTTTAGCCCGACCCATATCCTCCAGAGTGTTTGCCTTCCTTCTGAGCCCCTCCCTCTCTGCTGAAAGTGCCAGAGCTAGTGCAGGCGCAGAAGTCTGTGCCCCAGGCCGTGTGTTGGAGCCAAATCAATACTTTGTTGTTGTTAGCACTGAGGTTTAAACTCAAGGCTTCACAGCTGAGTTCTACTGTTCTACTGCTTGAACCACATCTCCCTCTGTGCTCTGGTTATTTTTGAGATAAGTTCGTGGGGTTTTTTTGCACTGCCAGGATTGTGATCCTCCTGTTACACTCCCACCATAGCTGGGATGATGGGCATCTGGCCAGCGTGCCTAGTTTTTTCTCTTGGGGAGCCAGGGAGGGGAAGGGCTATCTCATGAACTTTTTTGCCCAGGCTGCACTAGAGCTGCAATCCTTCTATAATTAGCCTCCTGCATAATTGTGACGGTGGGCGCACATTCCACACCCAGCTACGTTTTTATTGAAAGCCTAGCACCAGCCATCCAGATTGTTCTCCGCTTGTTGGAACAGCAGTGGTGCTGACAGAAGTCAGCCATCCTCAGACATGGGGCTTTCTAATAGCCATCTTTGCCTTTAGCAACTCTTAATACAATTTTCTAAATCAAGTGTCACTATGTTATATAACGATCCTCCTACCCAAGAAACAGTTGTAGACCTGAGGGCTTGGGTCCAATGGATGTGACTACTTGTCTGTAGGACTTGCACATAAGATATTTAACCTCTCTGACCTTTGGACATGTCATGGGGGCTAGTAATGCCTACTTCGTAGAATTACTGGGAGGAGGAATGCTTCTTGAAACCTTGCATTGAGCAAAGGCTCCGTGTGTTCATGTTCTCTGCCAAACTGATTACACGGTCCATGTAAGTCCAGCATTGGGACCACAGCCAGGCCCCCACACATCCAGGACACTGACGAGTGTACAAGCTCCTCTGCCATCCATGTGTGTTCCTGCTAACCACCTTGGACAATTTCCTCTTGAGCTTCTTTCCTAGGTGTGCAGTTGAACCCCAGGGTGCCTGCGTCAGTTTCTAGTTTCTGTGCCTCTCTGCTCCTTAGGGCATTCTATGAGCATCAGAATCCGCTCCATCATTCTCACTTACATCCCTACTGATCTTAAGAGAGTGCGCACCTGCCCCATCTGCACACAGCGCCCATCATTCATTCCTGGCTCGGAGCCCTTTCATCCCATCTTGCTGCCAGACTAATTTAGCTGTCTGAGTGTTTTTTCCCCAACAATATTGGTCCTAAGTTTCACTACCATTCCTGTAAAGCCAAGCAGAGAGAAGAGGACAAAGTCGGGAATGCAGACCAGTGCTTCCATTTATCTCTTGGATTCTTCCCAGAGGATAAATTTAGTTTCCAAATCCTGATTAATTTCCTTTGTCGTTTTTTTTTTTAAAGTAATAAATAGATTTTTCTTGTCTGGGCTAGAGACCCGAGAAAATGGGGGATTGAGCAGCAGATTGAGCTTTTCAAAAGGGCTGCATGTAAATGAACTCCTTGGGCTGATCAAGTGCCAGAAAGAAAGTTGAGTGTGAGTGGAGCCCCACGCCTGGGGGCAGCAGATCAGACAACAGGAGCTCATGAAGTTGATTCCCTGAATGAATGTGCACATTAATGGGCAGAGTCACTGGGTCATTTAATCCGTCAGTGAACCTCATTTGGGCCTAGCTTAGGCTAACACTGAGTGGTAAACTTTCTTCTACAAAGGACTAGATAGGATTTTAGGTTTGGGGGGCCATATGGTCGCTGTCTTTACTATTCAGTTCCGTCATTGAATATGGAAGCCGTCATAGACAATACGTACATGAATGAGCAAAGCTGTGAGCCAATCAATTTTCATTTCACTGGAAAGTATGGCAGTAGGCCCTGAAATCAGAAAGACCTGGGTGCCATTCCCAGGTTGTTCTTTAGCTATGTGACAGGGCAAGCAACAGTAGCTGTAAATACTCATCTGTTAGACAGGAACAAACGTGGTAGTCACCTCCACTGTGCAGAGGGAATGAGCTAGTGCTGGTGAAGCATTCAGTGTCATGGGGGAGGGGGAGACACAGCATGTTCTCTATAACTATGAGCTATCGCTCTTTTTTTCTTTTTTTTTTTGGTCATTTGTCATCTCTTCATCTCTCTCCTCACCTGGAATTAAAGAGTTGGGAAACTTGTTCTGTTCCCAGCACTTATGAAGTACCTGGAATACACAGCATATATCACAGATAGAAGACAGACAGACAGATAGATAGACAGATGGATAGATAGAGTTAGGCACAGGATACATAGGCTCGTTAAGAGTAATACAAGTATGATGCTGGTGGCTCACACCTGTAATCCTAGCTGTTCAGGAGGCTGAGATCTGAGGATCACCGTTCAGAGCTAGCTGGAGCAGAAAAGTCTGCACGACTCTCATCCCCCAATTAAGCCCTCAAAGGCTGGAAATGGAGCTGCAACTCAAGTGATGGAGCACCAGCCTTGAGCAAAAGAGCTAAGGAACAGTGCCAGACCCTGAGTCCAAGCCCCCAATACTGGTGGAAGGAAGGAAAGGAGGGAGGGGAGGGAAGGGAAGGGAAATGAAGGGAAGAAGGAAGGAAAGGGGAGGAAGGAAAGAAGGAAGGAAAGGAGGGGAGGAGGAAAGAAGAGGAGAGGAGATAGGAGAGGAGAGAGAGGGGAGAGGAGAGCAGAGGAGAGAAGAGAGAAGAGAGGAAGGGAATACAAATGTGGGGGAAGCCACTGAGGCAGAAAAGTGAGGTGATCATCTCAAACCGCTCTCCCTTGCAGCTGTAGGAGGGTCCTTCTCTGAGCTTCTCTCTCGTCCTGTGTGGCTGCTTTGATTCTTTAGGATGTGGACTTGCTCTTTCCTTCCCGTTTCTCCTCCATTTACCATGGCGTGGCTAAAGAATGTTCTGTGAGCCGGATGCCCGTGGCTTACGCCTGTAATCCTAGCTATTTAGGAGGCTGAGATCTGAGGATCACAGTTCAAAGCCAGCCCGGGAAGGAAAGTCCATGAGACTCTTACCTCCAATAAACCACTAGAAAACCGGAAGTGGTGCTGTGGCTCAAGTGGTAGAGCGCTAGCCTTGAGCTGAAGAGCTGAGGGATAGTGCCCAGGCCCAGAGTTCAAGCCCCACGACTGACCAAAAAAAAAAAAGAATGTTCTGTGTCCTTGCCCCTGAATTCCTGCACTGTCCCATCACCAGAACAGCCTACATCCATTCTAGTTGCATGCAACTATGCAGATGCCTGGTAATGCCATTTGAGGCAATATGTCTCCCGCTGGAGGGCCATCAGAGGTTCCTGAGGGACGCTTCCAAACCACGAGGTTCTGACCTGCTTCTCTGGGGAAGGGGGAAGCCTCCTGTCTGCCACACTGAGAATCACTGCCCAGATTCATGTTCTGCTTTGAAATAATGCATAGCCCAGTATGGCCGTCCCTTGATTCTGGGCAGCCACGCAGAGCAGCACAGGCTGAGGAATGCACAGCTCCAGGCCCAGGAAGTGAGCAGTAAGGAGTAAGGGCCAAAAGTTTGCATCCACCTCCTGCCAAGGCCAGCGGAAGTACGAGTCAGAACAGTAAGGCAGAGAAGCGCTCGCTCGCTGGCGCTCTCCCACACACCGTGTGGCATCTCACCACGGGAAGCAGGGTGAGACAGGCTGGCTTTGGTGGGTCCATCTTAATCATTCACTCTATAGGAAGTCTGTTTTCCTTTGGCTTTTCTTGGCAAACACTGGGGAAGAGTGGGTTTAGTGGAAGGAAGGATAAGAATTCGGGTGAAAGCCCACTGAAATGCTTACCTTGCCTCTGGCTTGAGGAGGATAATCCATCCTAATGCGCGGACGAGGGTGCGTTTGGGTTTGAGGTTGTTTGCTTTGATGCTGTGGCTTGATCCCAGAGCCTTGCCCCATGCAATGCAAGCGCTCTGTCATGACACTCCAGCCACAATTTAGGACAGTGCTTCTTAAATTTTACACATACATACATGAGTGTGTGTGTGTTAGTATTGGGGTTTGAACTCAGGGCCTTGAGTTTTCTAGACGAGATCACCTCTACTTTAGCCCCACCCCCAGCATAAAAGTTAATCTACATACAAGTCACCTTGGGAATCTTGTTAACAGGGGCCGAGGGGGTAGGGTGGACGTGGTAGTGTCTAGAATCTCAGCTCCCATCTCTCAGAATCACCTGCTAGTGTCCCTGCCTACCCTGTCCTAGAACTTGCCCTGTCAGCAGTCCTCTCTTCTCTTTGGGTATTTTTACACAGTCAGGTGGACATGGAATCCTATATCGCATTCATTATTCTAAAAACAGAAGCAACAGAAAACTCGAATTTTCTAACGAGGGCCCTATTTCTCTAGGTTCAGACTGGTAGAATTGTACTACGTTTCTGTTACTCCCACAGGGATATGATCATTACCTGCGTTTGTCTGAGAAAACAATGAGCACATATTATCTCAGAGTTTGTGTGGAGCAGAAACCCAGAGGCAGCTTAAGTGGGTGATTCTGGCTCCGTCCTGAGGTTGGCTTTGCAGCCACAGTCCCCTGAGAGTTTGACTGGAGCTGAAAGATTCACTTCCAAGATGGCGCACTCACATGGCTGCTGGCAGAAAGCCTCTGCGCCTTACCACGTGGACCTTTCTAGAGGGCAGCCTAGGCATTCTCACACAGGGCGAGTGAGTGGTCCAAGGAAAAGAGGGAACAGAAAAGAAGGTGTGGTGATTCTATGACCTGGTCTCAGAAAGCCAGAGACTGTGATGTCTGTGTTGTTCTGTGGTTAAGAACCAAGTCATTGATTCTAGCCCACACTTGAAGCGGGAGGGTTTAGCTCTTCTTGTAAAACAAGGAATATCGGAAGATCTATGAATATACTCACACTGTCTTCTATTTTTGTTTTGGGGCAGCCCTGGGGTTTGATCCCTAAGGACTTTGGCTCCCTAGGCAGGCACGCTAGCACAGGGGCCACACCTCCAACCCTGAGGTCTGGTTGACATCTAACAGTAATCCACAGGCCAAACTCTCCTTTGGGCTCACTCAGAGCCCAAGGCAGAAGGGAAGCCCACTTTGCCCATCTGTGATGACACCGGATTATTTTTGTGCCCTGGATTGACTAGCGCCAGCTCTTTCTCAACCCCAGTGGGGACGGGGCACTGCCGCCACCAGGAAGCGCCAGGTCTGGGTTGAGCCATCAGGAGGCTGACAGGTTGTTTTGAATTGAACTTCAATCCAATTCAGAGCCAAGTACTCGAAAGAGCCTCCAGAGAAATGGAAAATGTATTTATTCTACTGTATGAGGATTGTTTTTTTTTAATGTAGCAAAAAGTGTCCTGACAAAAATTTTGATAGGTTTTGATTACATATTTATGTCTTTAAAGTAACGAAAGAAATGCTTTCTAGTTCCTTCTGTGTTTTCTCTCCAGGTATTTAGTCTTCCTACAGATCAAAAGGGATCTCTACCATGGCCGTCTCCTCTGTAAAACATCTGATGCTGCCTTGTTAGCAGCTTATATCCTTCAAGGTAATGACTTTTGACAGGATAAATTTGCTTTCCGTGCTAAGTACTGATTACATTACTTCACTTACCACACATGACTACCTCTTGGATCTAAACAGTATCTAACTTGAGGCCAAGTCTAAGTTCAAGGATTCTACTGCCATTCCTTGGAGCCACAAAGGCCCAGAACGCTCAGGTCTAACCTGTGTAGAAGCTCTGACTGCCAGCCCGTAAGTCTTTTTGACTGTTTGAGGATTTGCCCTGGGCTTTTGGCTGCTACTGTTCTGCGATTCTGGAAAGTAATCAGACCTCCCTTCCTGTCTTCTCATGCAAATCTCTAAGATGTGAAGCATCCTGGAATTCTAGGAACTATTTTTAAAGACCTTTCAGCTCAGACTGCTCAATGTTAAAAAGTGGTTTCAAGTAACAAGCACATCCTCTAATGTGCTAGTAAGAGTTGAACCCCACACAGCCAGTACCCAGACTGAACCAAAAAGAAAAAAGCAGGAAATACACACTTTATGAACCATCCTGATACTCAAGTGCCCCTTCCTAGACTTCTCTTTTGGTCCTTAGCCCTGAAACTGTTGATACCACTGGATTAATTTGGGATCATAGTACTATAACTCCAAAGCTTCCATTGAAACATCAGAACTCTTGGTTAGAAATCTGTGAACTTGGGGGTTGAGAAGGTGGCTCAGTGGTAGAGTGCTTGCCTTACATGCATGAGGCCCTGGGTTTGATTCCTCAGCACCACATAAACAGAAAAAGCTGGAAGTGGTGCTGTGGCTCAAGTGGTAGAGCACTTGCCTTGAGCTACAGAGCTGAGGGGCAGCACCCGGCGCAGAGTCCAAGCCCCATGACCAACAATAAAAAAGAAAAAAAAAAAAATCTGTGAACTTTGCTGGGTGTTGGTGGCTCACACCTGTAATCTTAGCTACTTGGGAGGCTGAGATCTGAGGACCACAATTCAAAGCCACCCTGGGCAGTAAAGTCTGTGAGACTCTTATCTCCAAGAAAACCAGAAGTGGCACTGTGGCTCAAGAGGTAGAGCACTGTCCTTGAGCTGAAGAGCTCAGAGACAGCACACAGGCTCAGAGTTCAAGCCCCATGACAGACAAAAAAAAAAAAAAAAGGAAGGAAGGAAAAAGAAAAGAAAAGAGAAATCTGTGAACTCCCAGATGTGATGGCTGGGGGGAGATATACCACAACTGTGTTAAAGAACGTAAGTCAGCCCCTTGCCATTTTAATTTCTGAGACTCCTATTTCAACCCATCAATAAAATAGGGAGTCCAGCAGGAGCTTGCCACAGATGCGCCATTCCTTTTCAATGAGAAAACAAATTTTAAACTCTACCCTTGCCTTGGGTTCTACCCTGATAATTATACTGAATTATTCCTTTGTTTTACATATATATATATATATATATATATATACATACATATATATATATTTGAGCCAGGCATCAGTAACTATAATCTAGCTACTCAAGAGGCTGAGATCTGAGGGTTGGTGTTCGAAGCCAGCCTGGGCAGGCAAGTCTATGAGACTCTTACCTCCACTTATCCACCAAAAATCTAGCTCAAGTGGCAGACTGCTAGACTTGAGCAAAAAAAGCTCAGGGACGGTGCCCAGGCCCTGAGTTCAAGCCTCAGGGCTAGCACCAAAACAAACAAAAAAAGTATTCAATGCCAAACATTGCTGTTTATCATTTGGTGCTTTCTAAATAAAATCAAAAGGTATTACTCGGAAGTTTTCAGGTCATCCCATACATTAAGGGAAACCTTTAGTCTCTTGTTAAACCATAGAAAGTCCTGAGTCATTGGAAGGTGGGTTTGGTGGTGGTGGTGGTGGTGGTGTTAATCAGGTTGGGGTTTTTATTGTGATGAAATGAGAAGGTCCTGGCTTCTGGTCATGGTGAAGACTGTGGAGCAGCCCTCCCAGAACTCACTGATCTGAGAGCTCATCAGAGACGAACTCTGGGCATGACTGAAACACACAGCCCCACCCCAGTAAGACATTGAGAATTGTGCCTCAGAACTTAATGCTCCCAAGCCCAGAGACACTCTGATCCTGGTCAGCCTTCCGGGGCTCCACACCTGTCTGAGGCACGATCAGCCCTCCATGGGTCTTTTAGTCTATTCATTTGGATGGAAGGTTGAGCTCTAAATTGGAATCATGGCTCAGTCAGCAACTTGCCTTGGCCCCTGCTGAAATAGTCAAAAGGAGATTTCAGTGTCTGACCTGGTTCAAGCCCAGAAAGTTCTGTCTTCTTGTTCAAGCTCATACATACAGTACTGCTGCCAGGCTCGCGTCTCATGTGGCTGAAGGACCGAGAGCCACAGAAAGACTTCTGCTCTTTTATTGCAAATTTACTTGTGGTAGTCTCCGAACACAGGGTCAGCCCTCCTGTCTCTGCTTGGACAACCCAAGGTCAACACCTAGGAGGGCAAAGGTCTTGGAGTGCTCCTCATGGGCCAGCCCGGGGCCAGGCAGAGCCTGCTCAGGACCGGGCGCTCTTTCTAAGTCTTCAGGCACGTGCTTTGTGCATGCTTTCGCCACTGCTCGCTGTGTTACTCTCCTGCTGCTTTGCCACTGACGATTTACCGGTCTGCCTAATTGTTTTTTCCTGCCTTTCTGTGAAAAGCGGAGATTGGAGATTATGACCCTGGGAAACACCCTGAAGGCTACAGCTCCAAGTTCCAGTTTTTTCCAAAGCATTCTGAGAAGCTGGAAAAGAAAATCGCTGAGATTCACAAGACAGAACTCAGGTGTGTGATACTGGCTCTGGGCCCAGGACACTGCGCACACAGCTAGCTGTGCGTGCGTCCTCTGCTCTCTAGAGGGCGCTGCTGACACAGAGTGACACTCCCCAACCCCCCACACTCCCACCCCACCTTCTTGGTCCAGGGAGAGCCCACCCTCAAGCAGAGTCGTTTAGGCTGAGGCTTAAAGGCGAGAGAGGGGACAATGAGGGGGACTGGACTTTGAAAGGCATTTGCTTCACTTAGATAAATGAAGATGCACAGAGAACAAGCATGAAGTAAGGAATAGGAAAGGAAGAACAAAGACACAGTGAAGAAGAAAAAAAGGAGCCGGCCAGGCGCTGGTGGCTCACGCCTGTAATCCTAGCTACTCAGGAGGCTGAGATCTGAGGATCGAGGTTCAAAGCCAGCCCAAGCAGGAAAGCCCATGAGACTCATCTCCAATAAAAAAAAAAAAAATTGGAAGTGGCGTTGTGGTTCAAGTGGTAGAGCACTAGCCTTGAGCTGAAGAGCTGAGGGATAGTGCCCAGGCCCAGAGTTCAAGCCCTACCACCGAACCCCCCCCCAAAAAAAGTAATTCACTGATGGGGCACTTTTCCTTAATGTTGGGGGGAGGGGCTTTGCTCTGATCACGGCACACACACACACACAAAATGGAGGGAGGGAAGAAGAGAGGAGAGGTTGAGTGGGGATGTAAAAAAAAAAAGGCTCTCCTCCAAACTGACTGTGACAGTAACAGGAGACCACCGTCTCCAGCTCATAGCTGCAGGGGCACCCCAACAGTGCTGTGGATTGGGGGCTGTGTCTTCACCTGACCCGATATAATAGGGTACAGAAAAGTGGCCTCAAGCCTGGACCTTCACTTCCTCAGCTTTTTTTTTTTTTTCCAATCAATCATGAGACTTGAACTCAGGGCCTGGGTACTGTCTCTGAGCTGTTTTGCTCAAGACTAGTGCTCTACCACTTTGAGCAACAGCTCTACTTCCGGTTTTCTGGTGGTTAATTGGAGTTAAGAATCTCACAGATTTTCCTGCCCAGGCCGGTTCTGAACTTCAGTCCTCAGATCTCAGCCTCCTGACTAGCTAGTATTGCAGATATGAGCCACCAGCGCCCGGTTCTCAGCATCTCTTAGTATGCCCAGAGTATGTGGCATTGTATAAAACAGCACTAGCTTGGCCTTTCGCCGGTATGAACTAGGGATTTCTTCAAAGGCTGATTTTGATAAGCAAGAGAAAGATTTCTGGGCTTCTTTTCATATGCCACACTGGAGTGTAGAGCCCTAAACTATGAAGAAAAAAGGCACATGTGCGGAGTGTTTTAAGTTTAAAAAAATGGGGCTGTGAAGGTGGCTCAGTGGTAGAGTGCTCACCTAGCATGCATGAAGCCCTAGGTTCAATTCCTCAGCACCACATACACAGAAAAAGCCGGAAGGGGTGCTATGGCTCAAGTGGTACAGCCCTAGCCTTGAGCATAAAAAGTCTCAGGGACAGTGCCCAAGCCCTGAAAAAAAAATTATTTATATTTATATGCTCTCTGTGTATATATGTATATACACATATATATATATATATGTGTGTGTGTGTATATATATATATATATATATAACATTTTGTTATTTTTTTGCCAGTCCTGGGGCTTGACTCAGGGCCTGGGCACTGTCCCTGAGCTATTTGGCTCAAGGCTAGCGCTCTACCCCTTGAGCCACAGCGCCACTTCCAGTTTTCTGGTGGTTTATTGGAGATAAGAGTCTCATGCACTTTCCTGCCCCAGCTGGCTTTGAACCTCGATCCTCAGATCTCAGCCTCCTGAGTAGCTAGGATTCCAGGTGTGAGCCACCAGCGCCTGGCCAGGGTTCTAAAGTTTCTAAAATTTGAAGTAGATTCTTCCCTGATCAGGCCCTTCCTCTGAATCCTTTCAACCTCAGAGGTTTTACCAGCGCAGAAGAACCAAAACCCCCTTGTGTGGTGGATCCCTGTCTATGGAGAATAGCAGGAAAGGCTGCTGGCCCTCCAGGGAGACGGATAGGAAGTCGTGTTTCCCTTCCTGGGCAGGAGCAGCCTCTCTAGTGCTGGTCTCCCGGTTCTCCTCAGCACCATTAGGGAAATAGTGACCCCTTGTGGTGAACGTCAGAACAAACGTGGACCTTTGTGAGATTTCATGGTTCATTCAGAGTTGTGTGTGCAGGGAGCGTCCTGAGTATCTTAGGAAAGGTTTAGAGTGGTGAGCACAGTCTTCCAGAAGCAAAACGCAAAGCAGGAGATCCCCCCCCCCAAGAAATGATGCCTGTGTTGAGGGCCCTGAATGTAGCATCAGCCCTCCCCGATGGGGTACGAGGAAACCGCAGATCTTTTTGCTTTTCTGTTATTTTCCGAAAAGGGTCTCAGGTTTTGCTGGAGCTAGCTTAGACTGCCAGCCTCTCCACATAGCGAGGGTGACAGGTTCACACCACTGTACTCAGCTACTGATACAGATAGAATCTTACCAATTTTTTTCCAGGCCGGCCTCGAACCATAGTTCTCTTGTTCTGTGAGCAGCAAGGGTGGGTGGGTAGCGAGGATTAACAGGGAGGAGCTGCCATCAGCATGCCTGGCCTCTGGCACACTTGTTGTTTTTTTTTTGGGGGGGGGTGTTGTACTAGAGTTTGAAATGAGTGTCTTGTACTTGTTAGGCAGGGTCTCTACCACTGAGCCATGCATCTAACTCTTTTCCAGCTGTTTTTTTTTTTTTGTCAGTCATGTGACTTGAACTCGGGGCCTGGCTGCTGTCCCTGGACTCAAAGCTAGCACTCTACCACTTTGATCCACAGCACCACTTCCAGTTTTCTAGATGAGTCTAATTGGAGATGAGCCTCACAGCCTTTTCTGCCCGGGGCTGGCTTCAAACCACAATCCTCAGATCTCAGCCTCCTGAGTAGCTAGGATTACAGGCATGAGCCACCAGTGCCCAACTCAGCGGGTTATTTGGATATGGTCTCACTTCCTGTCCAGGCATCCACCAGGACTGTGGTCTCCCTATTTTAGGCTCCTTGTTGTAGCCAAGATGACAGATGTACCACAACTAGATTCTCCCATTGAGAGACGGTCTCGTGGATTGTGTTCCTGCTAGCCTCACACTGTGACGCTCTCCCAAGCAGCTACGGTTACTGGGGCTGGTCCTGCCCAGCTGTTCATGCAGAGCTTACCTCAGAGAAACTGTGGGAGCAAAGAGCCCTGAGGTCATTTCCTTCTCTTCATTTCAGTGGCCAAACACCAGCAACATCTGAGCTGAACTTCTTAAGAAAAGCGCAGACGCTGGAGACGTACGGAGTGGATCCTCACCCGTGTAAGGTAAGCCCTGCCCCATGGCGGAGCCCTCCCAGGGACAGGGCACCAGTGCCCACAGACTCCCTCGACGGTGCCAGAGGGAGCGTCTCCGTTGGAGCCGCTAGACTCGATGCCACTTGACTTTGTGGTCCCACAGCCACGTCAGGGCCCAGGCAGAGTCAGCCCAAGTCAAGGGCAACCGTGGGGCTCTGCCGCACAGCATGGGTAACTCAGTGGGAAGAAGAGTGGGGGTGCGGAAGGTCCCTGTGGGTTTGTCACTGCAGTGGTACAAGGTACTTCCACAGAGCCCCGGGGACGGGGGACACATGTAATTCCATTCTGCATCTGTGATGATAAGATGGGAACCAGCCTGGAAGCTGTTACCCCCCAAAAAAAACAAATTCACCTGTGCCTGCCATTTCCGATGAGCACAGCAGCCCTGTGCTTCACCCGCAGTTCCTCAGGGCCGAGGGCGCAGCCTGGCCTGTGCCCTCCTGCTCTGCTCACGTCGGTGTCCAGGCTTTCACAGGGCAGCAGCCACACTGGAAAAGGGGGCCTCCGTTTAACTTTATAACCTGTCAAGACCCTGTCTCCAAATAAGGCCACATTCCAAGGTACCCAGAGTTAGGACTAAGACATGAGGATTTAGGGACTGTGGGAGACACAATTTGGCACCTAACACATAGACTAAAAAACGAAGAAGCCAGGCACCGGTAGCTCCCACCTGTAATCCTAGCTACTCAAGAGGCCGAGATCTGAGGATCGAGATTCAAAGCCAGCCCTGGCAGGAAAGACCCTTATCTCCAATAAACCACCAGAAAACCAGAAGTGGCACTGTGGCCCAAGTGTTAGAGCACTTGCCGTGAGCTGAAGATCTTAGGGACAGCACCCAGGCCCAGAGTTTGAGCCCCACAACCGACAAAAACAAAAAGAAAACTAAGCATCCTGGTGAGGTGGCTCAAGCCTGTAATCCCAGATTTTTTTGTGATCTGTAGATCACAAAAGAAGTCCTCAAGACCCCATCTCAACTTGTGGCTGGTGTGGTGGTATAAGCCTGTTATCCCGGATATGGAAGAAGCAGTAGTGAGGGCCTGCCACCCCCATGGACACACGGAGGGGAAGGGAAGCGGGGGCAGAAAACAGCCCCTCCCTTGAAAATAAGCAGTGCAAAAGGGGCTGGAGACATGTTTCCTGTGGCCGGCTGAGCCGTGTTCTCGGGGTGGCACTGTCAGAAAGCACTTCTTCACTGTGTGCGCCATAGGACTGACATATTTAGAGTTGCACAGCTTCCCCAGTGATTTCCCTGTAATAACAGGTATTGTCCAGCAGGGGACTCCAGAAGATTGAGCACAGTGCGGGGGGGGGGGGCACATCTGGCTCCAGTCCCGCTCTGTGACTAGGCGCACAGCCCTTCAATCACTGTGCTATTTGAACGGTGGAGTCATTTTAGGACCTTAAAAGACACATCTGCCTGAGGAGAGCTGTGCTTGTGGAGGGTGCTGCGTCCCTCCAGTGCCCCCTGCAGGCCACACAGAGGAGCGCTCCCTGGACAGCAGAACTCAAGGGGACATGGGTGGGATTCCCCACTCCTGGTGCCCGCCAGCCGGCCGGGCAGCCCAGACCCATGTGTGTCCCAGGATGGTGGCCCCGCCTCAGCCCTGATGCTGGTGACTTTGTCCGTCGTTGGGCACAGAGAGGCTAAAGAGCTGGAAGGGAAAAAGAAGGGAAGGGATGGGAGGAAGGGGAGGGAGAAAGGAAGGAAAGTAAGAGAACATGGCAGGCCCCACGGAGCCCTTCCATGTTCATTCCCGTGGAAGCCCAGCCGGCCTTCCCGGTTCTATAGACAAGAAGACTGATGTTCTAGAAAAGCATGAATGGCAGAGCAAGAATCTTTATTCAGCCAGGCACCCCATGGCTCACACCTGTAATCCTAGTTACTCAGGAGGCTGAGATCTGAGGATCATGGTTCAAAGCCAGCCTGGGCAGAGAAAGTCTGTGAGACTCTTTATCTCCAATTAACTACTCAGAAAAACTGAAAGTGGCGCTGTGACTCAAGTGGTAGAGCGCTCGCCTTGAGCTGAAGAACTGAGGGACAGCGCCCAGGCCCAGAGTTCAGGCCCCACAACCCACCAAAAAAAAAAAAAAAAAGGAATCTGAACTCGGATCACTTCCCATTTTTAAGTAGCCATGTAGAACAAAAGCCTGGACACTTCCACTGGGGACATGGCAGTGGTCCTCTTGGGCTTTGGGTCCTGTGTTCCTGGGCCTCTTGGCTCACCTCAGCTCCTCTCGTCAGCCCTTCCAGGCCCACAGAGCCGCCTTTACTCTTCCGAAGTGGAGTCACTTCAGTGACGCGCTCCCAAGCACTCCCCTTAATGTTGCTACAAGGCGCATGGAAATAAGCTGGCGCACCCAGTGTCATAAATACCGATGATTTCTATGAACAGAGAGGCGATTACTGGGCTCAGGGAATCTGGGGCACGCGGCCCCAGGGAGAACACAAGAGGCATCGTTCTGATAATTAAATGAGAGCAGAGCAGCGCTTGCGCGAGGCTCTCTTCTTCTGGACTAATTAAGAAGCTGTTGCTTATCCGATGCACACCAGAGTCCTTGTCTGGGCCTAGGACCAGGAGACGCTCCCACAAGCACTGACAGAGTACTAATGCCCGGGTACTAATGCCCGAACTCCAGACCCACAAGCACTGACAGAGTACTAATACCTGGGTACTAATGCCGGAACTCCAGACCGGCAAGGCTGTCCTGCCTGGCCTCTACTCCGCTACAGCTTCTGTAGGGAGGACGGGGCCCGCTGCTGCCCTGATTTCAGCTCCCTTCCCTCAGCAGCTGCCATCTTGTTCTGTCCAAGATGGCCCTGAGACTGGACAATTGCGCGGGTCTCCCGTAGCTTGGGGGGCGGGGAGCTGGCCTGTTGTGGACCGTGGAGTGGATGCCCCTCCCCCCCCCCCCCGCACAGATACCGAGACATCTGGTGTCAGCGCTGTCCCTTTTCAGTTCCTTCCTTCTGTAGCGATGACATTTACTTAAGAGCTGAGCATGACTCACCGCCAGCTCTGACACACAGATGACACAGACCTGTAATTTTTAGATTCATCTTATAAAAATGTAATATAGGAACCGAAGGTCCGGTTCAAGTGGTAGAGCATGAGCCATGATCAAAAAAGCTGAGCAAAGGCTGGGATGTAGCTCGGGGCAAAGTGCTTGCCTAGCACGTGCAATGTCCTGGGCTCGATCCCTAGTACCTAAACAGAAAAAAAAAAAAAAAAAGAAAAGCTGAGCAAAACTGCATAAGACCCTGAGTGAGCTCCACTACTACGAAGAAGAAGCAGCAGCAGAAGCAGAAACAGAAGAAGCAGAAGAAGCAGCTGTAAGATAAAGCTGGATATGGTGGTGACGCCTGGAGTCCCAGCTACTTAGAGGCTGAAGCAGAAGGATTGAAAGTTCAAGAACAGCCTGAGCACCAGGTGCTGGCGGCTCAACCTGTAATCCTAGCTACTCAGGAGCTGAGATCTGAGGATCACAGTTCAAAGGCAGCCTGGGCAGGAAAGTCCGTGAGACTCTTATCTCCAATAAACTACTCAGAAAGAGCCAGAAGTGGCACTGTGGATTAAGAGAGAAAATACTCACTAGCCTTGGGCACAAACAGGCTCAGGGACAGTGCCTAGTTCAAGCCCCAGGGCCAGCAGAAAGAAAGAGAGGGGCAGAGAGAGGGGGTGAGGGGGGAGAATGGCCTGCGCTGCACAGCAGCATCCCATCTGAAAATGATGGTGCCGATGCCGGCGTAGCGCGTGTACCGGTGCACATCTGCTCCGTATGGACGGGGAGACAACTGGTTTCGACCAGATCTGGGTTGAAACACTCTGGGCAGAGTAGCAGTGCTGGCCGGGCGGGTGCAGGGCACAGCGCTGTCCGTGAGCACGTGACGAACGCAGGTGCGTCTCTGTGTAGGAGCATTAAGGCATGTGGGCCAGAGGGTAGTGTTTTTCTAGGTATAAGTCATCCTCATTTCACAGATGAGGAAAGTGAGTTCTGAAGAAGTCTAGCCGGTCACAGAGCAAATGAGAACCAACACGGGAGCTCTTTCACAGCGGCGCCTCGTCAGCCCCACTCCCATCTCGGATCCAAAGAGGGCAGCTGTGGGAAAGCCTTCGTATACAGCGATCCAAACGGAGGCCTGGAACAAGACCCTGGCCCCGGAGCCCCCGGGGCACGGGCAAGAAGGATGTTGGCTTCTTGTCTCTTGAACCCTCACAGCTCTCACCGGCTGTGGCAAAGCCCTGCAAAGCCCGGCTGATTTTTCTTTTTCTTTTGTTGCCAGGTCTGGGACTTGAACTCAGGGCCTGGGCTCTGTCCCTGAGCTCCTCTGGCTCAAGGGTAGCGCTCTACACACTTGAGCCGCAGCACCACTTCCGGCTTTTTCTGTGTATGTGGCACTGAGGAACGGAACCCAGGGCTTCACACATGCCATATTGCCAGCCTGTTTTGTTTTCTTTTGTTTTTCAATTGTTTTTGAAAGCTTTCTTCATGATGGTCCTAGGACCATGAGGAGCTGATGTCATAAAGTTCGCCCTTGCCCGTGCGCTGGCCAGTGGCTGCTGGTGTGTGTATAGACTTACAAAGGCATGGCCGCTATCAAAGGTTTTACCAGACCCCCTCTCCTCCCACCCCTCCACAGAAAACGCACTCATTAGCAGTCACTGTCCCCCTTCCCTTCCCCTCCAGCCTGAGAACTGCTGTGTCTCCAGAACTGTCGATTCCGGATGTTAACATATAAAGGGAATCTTTGGACGCGATCTCACAGCTGGCTGCCGTCCTTCTGACTGCTGAATGATAATCCACGATCACATGCTCTCCTTTGTTCACTGATCAGGTGATATCCATTTTCCATTACGAAGTGGACTGGGCTGGCTCCACCGCTGGCCTGTTAGGAGTAACGCTAACATTCCCGTACTAGTTTCTAGGCAGACATCTCTCCAGTTCTCCAGCGCTCTCAGAGAACTGCATTCCTTTGCAGTGGGATTGTTGGATGATAACTCTGTCATCTGAAGAACTTCCAGACTTCCCACAGTGACCGCACTGTTTTCAACCCCACCAGCCACACACAAGGTTTCCTCATTCTCTCTCGTATTCATAAGCCTCCCCCCCCCTCAGGACTGGTGAACTAGGGACCTTCAAGTTTCATGGACAAGCCACGCCTCCTTTTCTTTTTTGCTTTAGTTATTTTCAAAATAGTATTTCATGCTTCTGCCAGGAGCTGGCCGATCCTCCTTATGCCTCTTCCACAGCTAGAACAATAGTGCACACCGCCACGCCAGGTTTTATTGCTTGAGATGGAGCCTTGCTAGCTTTTCCCCTATGATTCTCCCGATCTGTGTCCTGACTAGTTGGGATTATAAGCATGAGCCACCGTGCCCAGCCCCGTAACAACCTTCTACCTGGTGTCCTTGTAATCTACGGTTTACAGATGAGGGGCACTGGGGCCAAGTAAGTATCTTGTCCACACACAGCTGTCGAGTACCAAGGCCGGGACTAGAACTGTTGTGCTTCCAAATGCCCTTTCTTCCACCCTGGCTTTCTCCCGTGATCTAATGAGAAATCTTCCTGTTTCAGGATGTTTCAGGAAACGCTGCATTTCTGGCCTTCACTCCTTTTGGGTTTGTTGTTCTCCAAGGGAACAAGAGGGTCCATTTCATCAAGTGGTGAGTGGCTTCATCTCCAAAACGGGCTGTTTACTCATCGCTAACTGGGGAGGGGCTGTGGTTCCCAGGTCCTTGGTCTGTGGTGGGCACTTCTGGTTCGAAGCCCTCTCCAAAGCCTGGTGCTGAGAACGGTAACCCACCAACGTAGTATCTTGTCCTAGGGACCTTGTTCTTCCAAAGGGGGCATTCCTGAAAGCCAACAGCCTCTCCAGGTACAGAAAGGAAGGTAGGGGGACTGACTTGCATTCTCTGGTCTAGGACTGGACCCAGTATTAGGGCAGCAAAGTTCCCAAGAAAACTTAGTGTGCCAACATTCTGATTCCACCTGAGGCTGTGTGGGAACATCTCTGCCAATAGGGAGGGGATCCCACACAATGACTCCTGCGCTGTCTCCACACCAGCCTGGAGGAGTCACATCCCCACCCCCTCGACTCCCCCATTCACTCTCTTCCCTATAGACAGGTGTTTTCACCCAGCCACTGCCTTAGCCACAGCTACTCTGAACTGCTTCTTCTCCTGCCCCCACTTTGTTCTATTTGGGGTCCATTCTGCTGGATAGCTAGGACAGACTCCAGGTCACTGACATTTGGACAGAGACCCTTTTGCTGCCTGGTGCCAGTATAGGGCTTGATTCAAGGCATGGGTGCTGTCCTTGAGCTTTTGTGCTCAAGGCTAGCACTCCACCACTTGAGTCATAGCTCCACTTCCTGTTCTTTAGTGGTTAACTGGAGATAAGAGTCTCACAGACTTTACTCCCCAGGCTGGCTTTGAACCATGATCCTCAGATCTCATCCTCCTGAGTAGCAAGAATTATAGGTGTGAGCCTCCAGCATCTGGCTTAGAAGGCCACATTCTGACCAGGGTAGTAGTTGTCTCCTGAAGTCCTGGTTACGAAGCATGACAAGCTAGAAACCTCCTTCACTTACAATCCCTAAATTATCCTAGGAGCCACCAGGCTCCCCTCGCTGTTCCTGACACTAACACTTCTTTAGGACTTCTTTGTAATAGAAGCAAGCACAGCCTCACTTTCCGAAGATAAGTGCTTCATTTCTTGCCTTGCTTCTGAGAGCCTAAATGACCTGTACCCTGTACCTGCCTACACATACACCACTGGATTTTCAGAGTGCTGTCTGTGTGAGGTTCATGATTGGCTGATGGACAGAAACAGAAGGAATCCAACAGGCAGAGAACAGGATGGCTGGCGCAAGTCACGGGTTGTGAACCGTCACCCTGACCCAGCCATGCTTTCTGGGCCCACAGTGAACAAATGATTCCATTCTCTCCCCCTGAATTTTGTTCTGGAGAACACTGGGTACCTGGTTCTTATTCCCTTTCTACTACATCATCAGATTGAGGAATTGTCCCTAGAATTAACATGGAGGCCGAAGCTTAGAAGCGGATCTGGGTCACCAGACCTTCCTGGGGCTCAGGCAGAAAAAAAAAAATTCCAGTTGGGGAGGAGGGGGCCTCGGGGCACCAGAGAGCAGCCATGTTGGGCACAGAAAGGAAGTGGAGTCACTGATGCTGAGAGCGAGTCTTCTGGCTCTTGGGGACATCCAGTGAAGGCCCAGGGACTTTTTCATTGTGTGAATGTAACCAAGGCTGAGAGCAGTAAGTGGAGGTGAGGCTTAGGCCGGGCCATGTACAGTAACCATGTCACTTCTTCTAATCTGTGTCTGTCCCGCGGGTGACGTACCCCGGTATCCTGTTTGCCTCTTTTACTGCAGCCATTCACTGGGCTGGTGGCTTCAAGGATTTTTCTACAATAACCCCTAAGCCCCTTTCCTGGTCAGTACGCTGCATGACTGTTCCATGTAATCTGTTCTCTCTCTTTGGTATGTTGCCCCGCCCCCTCCCTGAGATTGTTTGACATCTGTCTGCATTCAACTGCATTCTCCATCCAGTGGCAGTCACCCGAAAGGCTCAGCTCCCTCAGAACCTGGTTGCATTGTATTCCATTATTTGCTCTATCTTGAACTTTGGCCTCATCAGCTACCTGTGGCATCTTACGTTTGACAATCCCATCCGGATAATGCACCTGTTATGAACCAAATCCCGAAATGACCCCCCCCAGATGCTCCACCTAGACTCACTTCCATGCAAACGTTTCCCTTTTACAGCCACTGTTGATGAGCCCGAAATCTTCCTGTCACCCTATCGTTATAGTGTGATTGACCAGAACACTGTGGATTGAACTTTTCCAACAACCGTTCTCTCAGGCTGCTGTCTTGTTTCACTTCTAATTTTGGCTAAAAAAAAAAAAATTGTGTCTGTGCCTGGAGCCCCTTCCAGTCGGGTGGGCTGTGCATCTACAAGACTGAGCTGTGCGCCAGCGGCCCGCACGCCAGGTGACGCGCGTTCTCTTTGTGCTTCTAGGAATGAGGTGACCAAGCTGAAATTTGAAGGGAAGACCTTTTATTTATATGTAAGTCAGAAAGAGGTGAGTTGCTGTCTTCCTTCTCTTCAGGGCTTAAGGGAGACAGTTACGGCTGGAGCTAAAAAAGCCTCCTGCATGCACAGCTAAGATCTAGGTGAAAAGAGCAGTTTCCATCCGAGACTTCAGGGGAGATGGTCCACACACCATCCTTTTCTGTCACATAGCAATTCCAGAAGGAAGTGCCACTTCCTACCAAGGGTTTTCCTGGCTCTTCTTGTGCCAGCGGAGACTGATGGGTAGAAACCTTCCAGGTGGGAGGTTAACACACCAAATGGGGCTGTTCCCCTGGGGTCCTTCAGAACTTCCGTTCCCGCTAGCCAGCTACCCAGAGCGCCAGCAGCTCAGGGGTCGGTGCCCTGCGCCTCCCCGTCTACATTCGGCTCATTCCATGTGGAATTTCTTGCAGGAGAAGAAAATTATTCTCACATATTTTGCTCCAACTCCAGAAGCCTGCAAGCATCTCTGGAAATGTGGAATTGAGAACCAAGCCTTCTACAAGTGAGTGGACACGTGTAGTTGATAGGCACCACCTCAGAGGCAAAGCCATGGGGCTGCTTTCAGAGAGAGGTGGGCAGGCAGCCTTGACTGTGAACAGAGGCGTGGAGCTAAGCTGGCTTCCTAATAAAAGCCGGACCCCTTCCCGGGCCTTTGTGCCCCCCAGTTGGTGCAGAGACGAAAGTGTGGGACTGGGATTCTGCTAAGTTGTCTAAGAGGTCTGCCTTGAGATATTCTCAAACAATCCCTGGTGACAGAGTAATTGGTTTTTTTGTGGGTAAAGCTCGGATCAGAAAAAGTGTCCAATTCGAATCAAGCTGTCTGTGTGGAGCCAAAGACCTGGAGAACTAGAACAACAGCTTCATAAAAGACCGGGTCCGGCCGGGCGCTGGTGGCTCACGCCTGTAATCCTAGCTACTCAGGAGGCTGAGATCTGAGGATCGCGGTTCAAAGCCAGCCCGGGCAGGAGAGACCCTGAGACTCCTATCTCCAATAAACCACCAGAAAACCGGAAGTGGCGCTGTAGCTCAAGTGGTAGAGCGCTCGCCTTGAGCTGAAGGGCTGAGGGACAGCGCCCAGGCCCAGAGTTCAAGCCCCACGACCGACAAAAAAAAAGACCGGGTCCAGCAGGATGCCCCGAGAGCGAGGGGATGCTGCCTGTGGATTGGGTGAAGGCTCCATAGGTACTGCCTGCTTGTGGCAGAGGTTTCAGGCCCACAGGGGCTGCTGGATGTGGTGCGCAGCTGAGGCAGGCGCTGGGAGCTCTGGGCAGCGCTGCCTGAGCATCCATCTCTAAGCTAAGTCAGGGACAGCTGAATCCCCACCCGAATCGCCACCCCACTGCCTACAGTTGAAAGCGATGCTAAATACAATTGAACCAAACGATGCCATTTTTATCAAAGTTACGCTCTGCGGGACTTCTGAGTCTTTATTGTGAGAACGGGGAGGGGGGACTGAAGGGCAGCCCCGGCCCTCTTCATCCACCATCACCAGGCCACAGACACGAAGCATCCAATGCCCAGAGCAGAAGGGATGCCTGAGGTCCAACAGCCCCAGCTCCACAATCTTCTAGATCAGACTGAGGTTGGGGCCACACTGCTGAGTGGCTGGGCGGCATTGTTATTTCCCCAAACTGTGAGCGCAGCAAGTTAGAGCCGGGCACGGCTGCCCTGGCGTGTGTTCGGGGCCATCTGTCACACTGGACTTTGCCTTGCTGCAGGCTGGAGAAGTCGAGCCAAGTCCGCACAGTGTCCAGCAGCAATTTATTCTTTAAAGGGAGCCGGTTCCGATACAGGTAAATAGTGACAGTAAGTAGCCATTATGGATCTATTTTCAGACCATTTTCTGGACCGCACTCACTCAAGGGGGAGAGGTGGGGGCAGGCGGCTATCTTGAGAAAATTCCTGTCTTCTAATCCCTTGGCTATCCCTTGCCTTCCCTAAGTTGCTTCTCTTTAGTTAGCATATATTAGTACAGGTGTTTCGTCTGTAGGGTTTTGGATGTGTCTCTTCCTTACAACAGCCAGACCTTAAGAGTGGATCTTTTCGAATCCCCGTTTTGCTTTTGTTTCTGGCAATTTATTGGGACATGCTGAACCATACCTAAATAGGAATGAAAGATGCCGGGGACGCCAGAAACAGAGAGGGCGAAGATAGACTGGCATGATATTTTAGAACGCAAACCCAGCAGGCAAGCCTTTCCCACTGAGGAGGAAGCCACACAGGCCATTTCTAGACTCAGCCAAAGCCATCTCAGATCTTGGAGAAGGATCCAGGGTTGGAACGCTGTCTCACTGTCTTCCCGTTTGTTTTTTATACTACTTGTAGTGGCCGAGTGGCAAAGGAAGTCATGGAGTCAAGTGCCAAGATCAAACGGGAGCCACCAGAGATACACAGGTAAGTTGCCAAGGTCTTCCCCCAAAACCTCTTCCAGCTCAGAAACCTGGTCAGCTGGAGGAATGGGAGACATGGACTTAGGACAGAAAATAAGGGAGGGCAGACTTCCAAGTATGCATCCCTAAGCTTCTCTTCCGCCCTGCCATCACCTCGGTATTGATCACAGACCTGAAGGTGTGACACAGCAGTAGTACTTCATCGTCCTTGAATCAGTCATTACAGGAGCTTTTAGGGAAAGCCTCAGAGCCACACTGGGTCAAAAATAAAGGGGAAGTGGCGCTGTAGCTCAAGTGGTAGAGTGCTAGCCTTGAGCTGAGGGACAGCGTCCAGGCCCAGAGTTCAAGCCCCATGATCAACAAAAATAATAATAATTCAAGGATCCACCTCTCACGTATATCCACAAGTCATACATCTCCAGAAAAGCTCATATTCTAGAACCTAAAAAGGCTCAGAGGAGAGGATCAGCCGTCCTCTGCTTCTCCCAGAGGAAGCTGCCCCGTCAGTCTTGGAGCCCTAAGACCCGTGGTACTGGTGCCACGCTCAGGGAAAGGTCAGGTGGATCAGGAAGATGAGGGAAAGAAGTTTGAAGCAGTCTCGGACTGGGACCCAAAGGCCAGAAGTAGAGAAGGTACTGAACTGTTTTTAGACCTAAACTTAATACAGCCAAGCAGTTCTCGAAGCCACTATGGCCTTTGCCTGTGCAGAGTGAGTGACATTCTCTTTCCTTTAACCTCAGGGCAGGGATGGTTCCCAGCCGGAGCTGCCCCTCTATCACCCATGGCCCTCGGCTGAGCAGTGTCCCCAGGACTCGAAGAAGAGCTGTGCACATCTCCATCATGGAAGGTAAGCCTGCGCTGTGAGTGATGACCCTGCGCGCCCCTGAGGGACCCTCAAGTGAAGCTGATTTGCTTTCAAGACAGCGGTTGTTTCTGGGATGTAAGGTCCAGATCAATGAGAACACCAGTGGGTGTAGGGTAAAGGCCATGCACCCAGTGCACTGCGATCCAGGGTGGCAGGTGGATTGCGGAGGGAGATGCATCTATGTGGGGTCTGCCATGGCCCGCACAGTTCTAAAATGGCTTTCCATGAAGCCTTCTCCACTCACTTTGTAGATACCACTAGTACCCATAGGCTGAATGAAGGTGGGGGCATAGACAGTTGACTAAGTCTGCTATAGCTGCCTCCACCCTGTCTGCCAGTTGGAGAAACTGTGTGCTGTTGCTCTCAAAATTCCTTACCACTAGGAAGTGTGATGCTGTAGCTCAAGCAGTAGAGCGCTCGCCTTGAGCTGAGGGACAGCGCCCAGGCCCCACAATGGGACCCAAGAAGAAAATTCCTTACCACTGTCTCAAGTCCAGAATGTTCCAACACTCCTATTCTTGCATCTCTTGGCGGAGGTGGGGGGGAGTTAAAAAGGTGGAAAGGATCTGTGTATCTTCACTAAGCTAAACACCCCAAGAGCTAAGGCTAGTCACCTCTAGTCTCTGGCTAGTCAGTCCTATTGCTCTTAAGCCGGGCGCAGGTGGCTCACGCCTGTCATCCTAGCTACTCAGGAAGCTGAGATCTGAGGATTGGGGCTCAAAGCCAGCCCGGGCAGGAAAGTCCATGAGACTCTTATCTCTAATAAACCACTAGAAAACTGGAAGTGGCGCTGCAGCTCAAGTGGTAGAGCGCTCGCCTTGAGCTGAAGAGCTGAGGGACAGCGCCCAAGCCCCATGACCGACAAAAAGTTGCTCTTGGCAGTAAACCACCTGGTAGCGGCTGAGCCGGTGGATACATAACTCCCTGCTAAAGGCTTGACTAAGATGATCACCACAAACCTGCTACAGCACTACCTTCCATCATTTGTAATCAGGGGCACGGTCCTTGCCTACTCACAGGTGGGAAGGAGGCTCATTACGTGAAGTACTTGAAAAAGCATTCACTACACAGGCAGCGAGAGCGCCCTGGAAGTTGAGGTTTGAAAGGGAGCTCTGCCGGCTCGCTCTGGGCACGCTGCTGCCTCTCTGCTGCTCGCTGTCAGGGGAGCAGCGGAGGCTGCACAGAGCGGTAAGCAGCCCGCTCCTCCCGCACGCTGGGCTGCAGTACCGAGCAGCGCCCTTCCTGGGAGGATACGTGTCAGGGAAGTGAATCTCCGCTCTCTTGAGGAGACGGCTAACTTCTTCCCTCTTTATGGCCCTTCTTGCTTTGTACCCTGAGGCTGAAGCCAGCAGACTACTCTTAGGGAAGCTGGCGTGGACACAGGGTGTAACAGGAAAGGCCAAGACTGTCTAGGCGGGGCTACCACTCACCTCAAGTAGCTGCCGTGTAACATTTAGCCAACACGGCCTGGAGGCCACGAGAGGAGTTCCTCCAAGATAGCGATGCAGTTGCTCGCTCGCCTGGGTTTGGCTCTTCCTCCAGCGTCCTCGCCCAGAGCAGCAGCAGCAGCTCCCTTCTCTCAACTCTTCACCTTCCCTGGCAAAATGCCAGGAAGGGGGCGGGAGGGAGGGGCTGAGGAAAACAGACTCCTCCAGCCAGAGCACTTCCTCCTCCAGATCTCGGCCTCAGTTTCCCAATTGTACATCACAGCTCGGCAGTCCCCAGTATGCTGTTCTGCATACCCACAGCCCAGAGCCACGCTCCGCACGTCCTGGGGAACCATGGGCTGGCCCGGCAGCAGTGCGAGGACAGACAGACAGATGGGGACATGAAGTTCTTGTCTGAATGTGGAAAGTATAAGCTTTTAGCAGTTTGATGGTTTTACCAGTGCAGGAGTGTCAACCTTGTGCAAAGACACACACCTGTTGCATGAGGCAATAGTTTAAACCATCCGACTTTTCCAGAGCTCTACTTGCTCTCTAGAGAAAAAAAAAAAAATGACACTACCACACGATTACAGTTTAAATAAAGCCTCGCAAACCCAGGGGCCCTTAAAAACAAAGACTGAATTGTTTGGCTCTCGTGTCCGCTGTCTAGGATGCCAAGAACAGGTGATCCACAGACAGACCTGACGCTGAGAGGCGGCTGGTGGACGCGTCCTATCTGTCCCAAGGGGCAGCTGGGCAGCCGGCAGAGGCCGGGGCGCATTCCATTCCCAGCTTGAGCCGCCTTCTGGCAGCTGAAGCTAGCGCTGTGAGCCACGCCACATGGGACCTGGCTAGAGCCTGTCTTTGTGACCTTACATCCCAGATCTGCGGGACACTCTCTGTCCCTCACCCTCTTGAGAGGCGGCCCTTATATGGAGCTCAGGGAGAGTCCAGGCTGGAAGCATTACTTTTTATGGCTCTAAGTGGTTCTGACTGAGTCCCGTGCCCTGATAACAAAGCCTCGGAGCGGGCCCGCGGTGAGGCTCGGGGCACTGGCTTCTCCCTCCAGGGAGGAGACACTGCTCAGCTTTGAGTGAGGCGATCCTTGGTCTTCAGGGCTATTCACCCATTTCCTCTCCATACCTTCCCTGCCTGCCTACTTGGTGTCTGCCCTCCTGGGCCACCATGGGGAAGAGTCTGATCAAGATCCACACCAGAGTTCCGGTGCAGCTCCGGCTGACTAACCACTGCCTGCGGCCCCTGAGCGTGCGCATCCTGAGGATGGGGTCCCGGCTCCAGGGCAGGGTCCTGATGGCCGTGCCCGAGAGCCCCCTGGGAGCCACCTCTGGGCAAGGCCATCAGCCCGAGTGCCTCCAAGGTAAAAGAGACCTCCCCGTTTTGCTGTGCTACTTAGTCCAGAGCCTTGACACAACACCGGCCCCACCCACCCCGCACTAACAGCTTCGGGAAAGGGCAGGGGGTGAGAGCTGCTCAGGACTAACGTGATGCAGAAGGATGTGCGCTGAGGACTAATATCCACGGGCAGGTGTCGCAGCCGGGCATTCTACTGGAACACAACAACCGGCTAGGACGTGGCTGGCCTGGCGTCTGCGCGGCCCTTCCCCAGCCAGCTTAGAGCCCCATTGTAGACCACGCTACCTCTACACTGAAGTGGCCGCAGGCAGGAAAGCTGGTCATATCTGGAGAGATCTGGCAGTCAGATGTCCTTGGGAGGGGACAGGAAGCAAGCCAGGAGGAGGCTACAACCAGGGCCTTGTGGTCACTGACCCACACGCATTCCAAGGTCTCAGGAAAGTACTATAAAAAAATCTCTCACCCTATTTAACAGAACTGTTACAAGTTAAAAGTGTTTTAAAAAGTGAAGCCAAACCTGGGCACTGGTGGCTCACACCTGTAACCCTAGCTACTCAAGAGGCTGAGATATGAGGATCATGGTTCGAGGCCAGTCCAGGCAGAAAAGCCCATTAGACTATCTCCAACTAAGCACCAAAGAAGCTGAAAGTAGAGCTGTGGCACAAGTGGCACAGCACAAGCCTTGAGCAAAAGAAACCCAGGGCCAGTGCCTAGATCCTAAGTTCAAGCCCCAGAACCAGGAGAGAAAAAGAAAAAAAAAAAAAAAAAGGCTAAGCCAGGGGTGGCTTATGTCTATAATCCTAGCTCCTGGAGACACAGAGTTAAGAGAACCAATTTGAAGCCAACCAGGGCAAAAGACTTCATAAAGACCCTACCTCAACAGATATGCACAATGGTCCATATGCTGGTCACACTTACTGATAGGGACGCTGAGATCAGGACTGTGGTTTCAGGTCAGCCTGGGCAAAAAAAAAGTTCGAGATCTCAACAGAAAAAGCTGGGCATGGCGGTGTATACCTGTCATCCCAGATACAGGAGCACCGGCCAGTGCAGGCAAAAAGGGACCCGATCTCAAAAGTAATCAGAACAAAAAGAGCAGCTGGAGGCATGGCTCAAGCAGAAGAGAGCTAGTCTAGGACGTCTGAAACCCTGAGTTCAAACGCCAGTACTTTCCTGATTAGCCTCCTCCCCCACCCTGAAAAAGCAGTGTAAGCTAGCATAGAAAAATGTGAGGTTTTAGCGTAAGGACAAAGACGTACTGCTAGGTCCCGAGGAGCTTCTGCAACAGAGGCTGGTGCTGTGACCAGTGTGCATCGGGTAAGGGGGTGGAAAGCACATGCCCTGCGGGCCACGCCCAGGTCCTCTAGAGAATCCTTGCCTGTGCCCCCGGGTGCTGGCAGGCTGCTGGTGAAGTTACCTCAATGTGCAAGGCCAAGCCACAAGGGAGCCAAGCAAGACGAGAGCTGCTGCCGAGAAGGTCCCCGCCCGCTCTGGGCTTCCAAGCGAGTTCTGAACTCGACAGCTCCCTCCCGGCCTGGTGAGGGCAGACCTTGACTGGGCAGCAGTCTCGGACCAAAAGGATCTCCCAAAAGCTTTAGTAAGGGGCCTGGCTCTTCTTATCGCTATCAAGGCCCAGAGAGCCTGTCAGGCAGCACTAAGATGACCAGAAACAGAAAACTCAGGCATTCCACCTGACAAAACTCTTCCTTAAGAACACCGTGACTGTGAACCAGCCCACAGACTGGGCTGGGTGACAGTTGTTTAGCTATGGTAAGGTACGCCCAGCTCCTGCGTTTCCCTGCCAGAACCCAATCCCTGAGAGGAAATGTCCCAGACAGAGAGATAAGTAGTTTTAGGGGGTCAACAGACCCTCCACCAAATGTAAGAGAATCCCCTGCACTTTCCCATGTATCTTCTCAGACTGCTGTGCTCTTCAAATGTCTAAAGGTAGAGTAGCAGTCTGGGAAGGTGGCTCAGTGGTAGAGCGCTTGCCTAGCATGCATGAGGCCCTGGGTTCAATTCCTCAGCACCACATACACAGAAAAAGCCGGAAGTGGTGCTGTGGCTCAAGTGGTGAACACTAGCCTTGAGCACAGAGAGGCTTAGGGACAGTGTTCAGGCCCAGAATTCAAGCCCCAGGACTGGCAAACAAAGACAACAAAATAAAGGTAGAGTAGCTGCTGGTCTACTCTAGACCAGGATCCTTTTGGAGGAAGCTGTCCAGAGAGACTGCACCCCTCCTCCATCAGGAAGGATTTGGGGAGAGCAGAAAAACCCCACCATTACACAGTGCAGCACAGCCAAACCGGGAGGTTGAAGAGGCAGCAACTGCCGATATCCAAAAGACAGGCTCAGCCGGGCGCTCACGCCTGTCATCCTAGCTACTCAGGAGGCTGAGATGTGAGGATCACAGTTCAAAGCCAGCCTGGGCAGGAAAGTCTGTGAGACTCTTATCTCCAGTGAACCACCAGAAAACCAGAAGTGGCGCTTTAGCTCAAGTGGTAGAGCGCTCACCTTGAGCAGAAGAGCTCAGGGACGACGCCCAGGCCCAGAGTTCAAGCCCCACAGCAACAGGAAGACAGGCTCGTGCCAACGATTATAGACACTCGGTACCTGATGCAGTCTAACTGAGCAAAACAGCTCATTCCTGTCTCAGGGTGTTCCTCTCAGAAGGTGGACTTTAGTGACCCTCTGTGAGTCAGATCCTCTTTCCAATTAAATCGGGGCAAAATTCAGGACCTAGACATGAAAGGCAGGAGAAGCAGTCAGTCTATAAGGCAAAAACCATAAGTAAAAAACAGACTTCCTGGGCTGGGAAGGTGGCTCAGTGGTAGAGCGCTTGCCTTGCATTCATGAGGCCCTGGATTCAATTCCTCAGCACCACATAAGCAGAAAAAGCCCAAAGTGCGCTGCAGCTCAGTGGTAGAGTGCTAGCCTTGAGCTGAAGAGCTGAGGGACAGCGCCCAGGCCCAAAGTTCAGGCCCCACAACTGACCAAAACAAAACAAAAAAACCGACTTCCTGTGAGTCTGCTAGTCAGGTGGGAATGTGCCGAGAGGCACTCAAACAAGAGTGAGTGGTGCCGGACAGCGAAGCATGCCTACCAGGTGCTTTTTATTTCCTTTCTAGGCCTCGAGTCCCTACGCGACAGCGCCCATTCTACTCCTGTGCGTTCCTCTTCCCATGGGGACACCTTCCTGCCCCATGTGAGAGGCAGCCGGGCAGACAGCAATGAGCGAGTAGCTGTGATTGCGGATGAGGCCTACAGCCCTGCCGACAGCATGCTGCCCACCCCCGTGGCCGAGCACAGCCTGGAGCTGATGCTGCTGTCCCGGCAGATCAACGGGGCCACCTGCAGCATTGAGGAGGAAAAGGAGTCTGAGGCCAGCACCCCGACTGCTGCAGAGATGGAGGCCCTTGGAGGAGAGCTAAGGGCCCTGTGCCAGGGGCACGGCGGGCCAGAGGAGGAACAGGTGAATAAGTTTGTTTTAAGTGTCCTGCGTTTGCTCCTTGTGACCATGGGACTCCTCTTTGTTTTGCTCCTCCTCCTGATCATCCTTACCGAGTCTGACCTTGACATTGCCTTTTTCCGCGATATCCGCCAGACCCCCGAGTTTGAACAATTCCACTATCAATACTTTTGTCCCCTCAGGCGATGGTTTGCCTGCAAAATCCGCTCAGTGGTGAGCCTGCTCATTGACACCTGAGAAGGCATGGCTCCTCCCAATAACTAGCCAGGTGGACCAGGGAGCCCAGCTACCATTCCCAGCAATGGGACCCATCGCGGACCATCGGCACATATACCAAGCCCTTCTCTCATGACTCAAAAGTCCACTGCAGCCTAGGAGGGTTGTTTCCCAGAAGAAGAAAAGGATAGGCTTGTGCCCCGTTAACCCAACCGGGAAAACTCACTTTCTTCCAAGGTTCTTTCAAGGAAGGCTCACCAACTCTGTATCTCATCCTTTTTGATTCGCAGGATAATTTGGGGTTTTGAATTTTGATTTTTCATAGATGTGTATTATTTTGAAAGTATCCAAATAAAAATGGTTTATTTTACTATTACTGATTATTGCAGTAGTGTCACCGAGCAGAGGGGACGCTAGGTGAAGACGAGAGCCGGTTTCCCCTGGGCCCCGCAGCTTTCCTGCGGGTGCTGCTGGTGGAGAGCAGCCCAGGGGTCTGGACGGTGGGGACTGTTTAGGGTTTCCTGCCAGACAGAACTCCTTTAAGAAAGTAAACGTCCACGTAGAATGATTAAAGGGAAAGTCGCTGCTTATGATGGTCTGAGCTGGATTTTCTTTTCCTTTTGTTTTTTCAAATCTGAGGAGAGGGACCTCCGCTACCGCAGCAGCAGCAGCAGCAGCAGGGGTGGGGTAAGTCTGTCCCCTTAGACTAGTGCCTAGCAGGCAGTAGACAAGAGTTTTGTTTAATGAACTGGGACTTCTAGGATTTTTTTTTTCCTGAAGCGTTTTACAGGCTCCTAGCGTGTTAAATGAATTCAGTGGTGCCAGAGAGAAAATACAGTCATAAAGGTGGGACAAAGTATAGTTACCAGACTTCACGCTCACTACCTGAGCACCTATGAGATGCAGACAGCTGTGCTCATTTTCTACACAGTAGATACTCCCTCCCCCCAGAAAGGTTACTTGGATTTATATTTTAACAGAAGAATATTATTTTCCTATCTACTCATATTTTGTTTTTACTTTTACGGATTAAGAAAATAGAACTTGATAAACTAAAAGATGCAAGACAGAAACTGATCCTGAGAAAAAAAAAAAAAACACCAGAAAATTCCATGATCCACAAACAAACAGCCTTGGAAGGGACAAGGAAATTCTATGTAGTAAGATTGCTAAGAGAGGCCTACAAAAGAGCGTATGGCAGAGACCAACCCAGAGCTATCGAGTGCTGCCCCCCAGGGTCCTCCTCTGCAGCAGGAAGGAAGCTGTAGCAAAGCACCTGCCGTCTGGGCTGCAGGAGTCCTGCAGCTGCAGGGTGACACCAAGGGTGAGTGTAGTCCCTAGACCCAGGCTCTGCACCTCTAAAAGCCTATCACACGCAGACCTTGTTTTCCTCTCAGGGAGAGATCTAGATCTCTAAGTCACCTGGGACCTGAGAACTTAAGGATGTTCACTGGACGTACTCCGGGGACCCACAGGACAGCAGACGAGCTACTGACATCCTAGGATATTAGACAGCTCACACGCAGGGCTGAGTCAAGTGTAGATTTCATCTCCCCTCACAGCCACAGAAAAATCAGAGTTTGGAGGCAAAGGGACAAGGGATTTGTATAATTTGAAGGACGCCCTTTTTATCTAGACCACAGGCCCGCAAACGCTTACTGGGAAGTACCAGATCATCATTTCTCGTTTTGGTTTTGCAGACCATACTTGGTCACAACTGTTCAACTCTGTCGTCATAGCACAAAAATCGCCACAGATGACACACATGTGAAAGATCATGGCTGTCTTCTAACAGAACTTCAGAAAAACAGCCAGCCATGGTCTAGACAAGCCAACTGACCAATATGTAGCAGGAAGAGGCGCTGCTCTGTTCCTGTTGCGGCATGTTTGAAAGACCCAGGACCATTTCCCAGTGGAGACACTGGGGCTGCTTGTACACAGGGTGCTCAACCAACCAACCAGCTGAGACGTTCTGACACCAAGGTGAGCGAGATGAAGTGTCAGGACACTAAACTGTGGCAATTCTAAAGCTCCAAGTGGGCCTACTTGATCATTCCCATACCAGCAACGATTTGGGCAGAATTTTAAAAAACACACGTACTCATCAAGTGACAAGACAACCGAGGGCGATCCTAATAGAGATGAGGGATCACTTCAAACCAACTAGCCACTGCCACTTGTCATCTACACAGCAAAGGCTTCACTTAGCACAGACTCAAGGGAAAAGTAGACTAGAGATGGAAAGGCTGTCAGGAGACAGGCTGGTGTTAACGTGGATTTCTACTGTCTTATGCAACATAGCAGATTACCTTCTAGTGTAGTGCTCCTACCTCAGTCTGTAGAATATGGTGTCTCTATGCAGTGAGTGATAGCCCGCCTCTGACCTTGCATATCCACACTGGAGAGGGGCCGTTTTCCATTGCCTGGTGTGTTACTCGTGTCTAGATTTCTAACAGTGCAGTAGTCCATACCATCCTCAACAGCTGGACAGAAATTTCCAGGCTATTTTTTCCCAGGGCTTATCCCAGAAAATATGATAGAAAATTTTTCATCAATTTGCTTTTCAAATAGTGCTGGAATAACAAACTTCCTTTGTTGACTAGTCTTTTTTTTTTAATCTCCCCATCATAAAATTGTTCATGTTTTTAATGGTTTCTTTCTTCTTCTGTGTTCTTTGTCTCTCATTTCCTTGAAATTAGTTTTATCTTGCTGTAGAAAAAGCAATGGTTTGCAGAGTGGCATCTAGCAGAGGAAATAATTGAAAAACAACAGACTGCATTGTTTAGCAGTGAATGGTAAACTACCTGCAAATGTGAATTTCTTAGTTTCATTTAAAAATATATAGTTGTTAACCTTTGTGTGCCAAAAACTCTAAGTTACACTTTCCTTCAAAGCAATGTACTTTTTTCTACATATGCAGTATGTAGTTAGCATAAAAATCATTGGTGCCATGAAGATTATTTTTAAACTTAAATAAATATTTAAATACCATGGAAGAGTGAGCTTAATTTTTTAACCCTACAGACTTTCAGTTAACAGTTATTAAGAATGCCTAAATAAAAGGATACCAGGTAGGGGTATACAGCTGAGTTGTGCAAAGTGGGGATCTAAAAGGCAACTTCTGCTTATATAAACATTTATAATCACCTTACCCCCAAAGTACGTACTGTTAGAAACTGAGAAGCTAATGCTCATCTCTATCCACCTCAATGAGAACTAGGAAGTCACCTAACAAAAAGCTGGACGACTCCAAGAATATAACTGCAGTGTTAGTCAGTGCTTATGAGCTTAGGTAATCCCAAAGTGAAGGAGCAGTTGTAATGCACAACTATAGAAGCCACACAGCCTTAAGCCAGTCTCCAGGAGTCCCTTTTGCTACAGATTACAGTTTAAGAATGTCCTAAAGAGCAGGGTGCTGGTGACTCACGCCTGTAATCCTAGTTACTCAGGAGGCTGAGATCTGAGGGTTGCGGTTCAAAGCCAGCCCGGGCAGGAAAGACTGTGAGACTCCTATCTCCAATAAACCATCAGAAAACCGGAAGTGGCGCTGTAGCTCAAGTGGTAGAGCGCT